ACAATAGTACCTAAGTCCTAGGGTTGTTATGAGAGCAAAGGAGTTAATACATGTAAAACACGGCTTACTCCATATTAATCACCCAATAAATGTTAGCCTATTCTTATTATCATCATCGCCTTGAAATATCTCCAAGTTATGATTATAATCCAACATCAAATTATATTGTTCTCCAGTTGCATACCATGAAACCACCATACAGGCAAGAATTACCAAGTTCTTTTGCTATTTCAGTTACTAAATACTTTATCAGATTCAAGATGAAAAGTCTCGTGCTGACTAACAGTGAAGGCTAAAGTGAGGTTTCAGGATTCTATTTTATCAGAAATCCTACTTCTAGGAATACATTCTAAGGGAATTTTCAGACATGCAAAGACAAGATACAAAGAAGCAGCTGACTGCAACCTTATCTATGTAGTGAAAAACTGGACACAGTCTATGAGTGGAACAATCTGAGAATGATTAAATAATTATGGTCCAGAAACATGCTTTTGAAAAAATTTCTTTTTTACAAGCAGGGAAACATGCTTTAAGGAATACTTAATGACTAGGAAATGCTCATGAAATAAGTGTAAGTTGAAAGCAGGCTTCAGGTTGGGCATGGTGGCTCCTATAATTCCAGCACTTTGGGAGGCTGAGGCAGGAGGACTGCTTGAGCACAGGAGTTCAAGACCAGCCTAGGAAACATAGCAAGACCCCGTCCCTACAAAAACAAAAACAAAAACTTAGCCAGGAGTGGTGGCACACACCTGAAGTCCCAGCTACTTGGGAGGCTGAGGCGGAAGAACTGTCTGAACCCAAGAGGTTGAGGTTGCAGTGAGCTGCTGTGATTATGCCACAGCACTCCAGCCTGGGCGACAGAGACCCTAACTCAGGAAGAGGTAAGGAAGGAAGGATCAAGGGAGGGAGGGAGGGAAGGAAGGAAGGCAGGCAGGCAGGCTTCAAAACTGTGTTTAACAATGAGATCACATTTGGTAACTACATAACCACATTTCAGAGAAAACAAAACTCTAGAGAAATGCATCAAGATGTTCACAGTAGGGTCTCTGAGGGTGAAAGGACTTGGGTGTGGTTTTTGCTTGCATCTCTTTATATTTTTCGATGCCTTCCAAGTTTCACACATGAACACCAACAATTCTTATATCTGGGAAAAACATTCAGTCATAAAACCAAAACATGTAAATACAGGAAGACTTTCAGAAGACAGGCTGTGGACTAGCAGGATCTAGGGATGGAACCCATGTTTCCTAAGCTCCTTCTAGTTGTTTTTTTTTTTTAATCTAGAATGATGCCATATAACAGAGACAGTTGTTGCTACTCTTCGACTTACCTTTGCTCTGGAAATAAAAGTTATGAGAAATCTCTTGGTTAAAAAAATATAGTCAGGTGCAGTGGTATATAGCCAGCTACTCTGGAGGCTGAGGCGGGAGGACCACTTGAGCCAAGGAATTCGAGGCTGCACTGTGCAATGATTGTGCCTGTGAATAGCCACTGCATGACAGCCTGGGCAATATAGTGAGATCCCATCTCTAAAATTAAAAAAAAAAGATAGATAGATGGATACATAGATATGGATGGGAGCAGTAGGGGAGGATACCAAGAATTGACTAATCACAACTATTTGTTTTTCCAACATTGGAGAGAAACATCCTTGGCCCGCAGCAAAATGGAAGAGAGCCATCCATCAGTTCTTTTGGAAGAAGTTTTTTTTAAAAAGTTCTGTGGTTTTAAGAAAATAAGAAAAAGATAACTAACCCAAACAGGATAGCAGACAAATCCAAATAAACAAGTAACTGAGCTTCCAAATTCCCATGCCTCTGCACGCAGGACTGCGCTCATAAATCTGTTTGGGGTCCTCCACCTAAGGAAAGATTACTAAGAAGAACCCAACATTGCAAGGGCTTGAGGCTGGGTGCAGAGTCTCACACCTGTAATCCCAGCACTTTGGAAGGCTGAGGCAGGAGAACTGCTTGAGTCCAGGAGTTCAAGACCAGCCTGAGCAACATAGTGAGACCTCATCTCTATCAAATAAATAAATAAATAAATAAATAAAGCCCGATGTGGTGGCTCACACCTGTAATCCCAGAACTTTAGGAGGCAGAGGGGAGAGGATTGCCTGAGCCCAGGGGTTCGAAACCAGCCCGGGCAACTTGGCAAGACCTCATCTCTACAATAAAGATTAAAAAAATTAGTCGGGCATGGTGGCGTACACCTGTATGTAGTTCCAGCTACTTGGAAGGCTAAGGCGGAAGGATTGCTTGAGCTCAGCAGGTCAAGGTTGTGGTGGCCATGAGCATGTCACTGCACCTCAGCCTGGGCAACAGAGTGAGACTCCAACTCAAAAAAAAAAAAAAAAGAAGAAGAAATAAATTAGCCAGCATGGTGGTGCCAGCGTGTAGTCCCAGCTACTCAGGAGGCTGAGGCAGATCACCTGAACCCAGGAGGTCGAGGCTGTGGTGAGCTGTGATCATGTCACTGCATTCCAGCCTGGTTGACAGGAAGACCTCCACTGAAAAAAACAGTAATTACAATAAAATAAATAAAACAAAACAAAGGACTTAGAAAACATCAGGACATGCCGGCTGATGACACAGGTCAGGTCCCCGATGGCGTGTGGGCCTCGGGCTGGCACAGCCTAGCCTGGGGATCCCGCCCCCACAGCTGTGTGCCTGGGCCCGTGGGCTCAGCGGGAGAGGGCCTCGCAGGACTCACACCTTGGCCTGAGAGGCCAGAGTCATAAAAGGAGGATTATTTATGATGCAGGAGTGATTTAATAACATTTTTCAAGAACCTGAAGGATTTATGTGGAGGAACTGCCGTTCTAGCAACTAAACCCTTCTGGACGGACGCCAAGATAAACCAGGCTCGTCTGGCTTCCGCCCTGAGGCCTCCACCCCTTCCAGTTGCTCTTGGCAAATAATCTCTTCCACTTTACTGGAGGGCGATGGTCGAGGAGATGACCTTCCTGGCTCCTTTATCTACCCTTCTCCCCACCTCAGAAAATCTCCCAACATCTCCCTTTGTTCCTCCAGATCACAAAGGAAGAATCAAGAAGGGAGGAGGAACTAACATTTATTGACTGCCTTCTTTGTGCCAGGAGCTTGCAGAAACATTACCTCATTTAATTCCCACAAACACCCTGTGAGGTAGGCATAAGTATCCCTCTTTTGCTTGTTAGGGGATGGAGGACATCGTATTCTTTTAGCAGCTGCTGTGAGAATTCCTCTTGGGGAGAGAACCGCCTTTGTGGGAAAATGCCTCGATCAGCCTCTTTGGATGATGGGGAGGGATGCGGGGAAATGTCTGCCGAATGGGCGGGGGGGGGAACGGGATTGTGGGCTGCGCCAGAAAGAAGAGGGGCAGGGGCAAGGGGAGAGCGGGAGCTTCAGAGGCTGACTGTGTGCAGCACCGTATGCCCCACCCTCAAAAGCATTCATTCACTCTTAAATCTCGAGTAATTTACCAAACTCAAGAAGTGCTTGCAAGCTCATGGCCCAGGCGCCATGGCTCAAGCCTATAATCCCAGCACTTTGGGAGGCTGAGGCGAGAGGATTGTCTGAACCTGCAGGTTTTAGACCAGCCTGGGCAACATGGTGAGACCCCATCGCTACAATAAATCGAAAAACTAGCCGGGTGTGGTAGTGCACGCTTGTAGTTACGGCTACTTGGAAGGCTGAGGCGGAAGGATCGCCGGAGCCCAGCAGGTGGAGGCTGCAGTGGCCCAAAGCGGCCACTGCACTCCAGTCTGGGTGACAGAGTGAGACTCCAACTCAAAAAAAAAAGGAATGCTTGCAGAAAGATAACTTTCTGAATGGGCTTGCTGGCATAGGGCAAAAAAGCCTTGTGTGTTTCTCCTGAGGTAGTAACAGGTGGTACCATCAAGGAAATATGGTTCCTTTTTTCATTGTTTTTGTTTTTGTTTTGAGTTGGGGGTCTCACTCTGTCGCCAGGCTGGAGTGCAGTGCCACTATCACAGCTCACCACAGCCTCTACCTCCTGGACTCAGGTGATCCCTCCACCTCAGCATCCCAGATAGCTGGGACTATAGGCATGCACTCCCTATATTTTTTCTAGACCCAAGGTCTCACTATGCTTCCCAGGCTGGTCTTGAACTCCTGGGCTTAAGCGATCCTCCCACCTCAGCCTCCCAAAGTGCTGGGATTATAGTCATGAGCCACTGTACCTGGCCAGAAATAAATGTTTCCTAAATTTAAGAGCAGGAAAGTCCCTGCCTTGGCATGTGAGTTCCGAAAAGAGAAGAAAATTGAGGCTCAGAGATCACACAACATCACTAACAGAGATAGACTTGAACCTATTCTGTTTATCTCCAGTGTCTTTTGTTTTTACTCTATTCCACATGCTGCACTAAGTGAGATGGCTTTTTCCTCTCCAAGGCCAACTCTTCCACTGACATCCTCTGTCCAATTCTAGTAATTCACTATAATGAATATTTATTGAGTGCCTATCGTATACCAGGCATTGTTGCATGCATTAGCTGATTTGATCCTCACTATGACACTATATATTTGACAGTATAGTAATTCACATTCTATAACATGGAAACTACCACTCAGAGAGGTTAAGACACTTGCTCGAGGTCCCACTGCTAGAAGTGGTAAAACAAATAGGATTTGATTGAGAGGCTACAGTCTTAACTCTGTTTTTTCTCTCATCTCCTCCCTTCCCATCTCTTTGAGGTTGTGCCTCTAAGTCACCCATCTAATTAACCTGTTCTCTCCCTGCTGCACCCAGGGATGGGACTCAGGGTTTGTAGAGGCCATGCAACACTGAACACGGAAGGTGCTTGGATGGACTGGGGTCAAAGTCACTGTCACAGCTCAGGCTACTCGTGTATAACTCAGGGATTGGCAAACTTTTTCTGTCCAGGGCCAGACAGCAAATATTTTTGGCTTTGTGGGCCATAGGGTCACTGTTGCCAACGCCTCAATTTGGCTCTTATAACGTGAAAGCAGCCACCATCCTAAATGAATGATCCTAACTCTGTTCCAATAAGGCTTTATTTATGGACACCGAAATTTGAGTTTTCTACCATTTTTACGCATCACAAAATATTCTTCTTTTGAAGTTTTTTCTCCAGCCATTTAAAAAGGTAAAAACCATTCTTAGCATGTGAGTCACATAAAAAGCAGAGGCAGGCCAGATTTGGCTGGCAGGTCACAGTGTGCTGACCCCGGTTTAACCAGCCCTCCCTCCTCCTGGGTGCTGTATCCGGCGGGGCGGAGTCCAGGCTGAACAGCTCCTGGCCTGGCTTTGATCCTTGCTCTCCTTTGCTTCACTCCTTTCACCTGCAAAGCCACACAGGTGCAGTCCATGAGCCTCTGCTCATTTCTCTCCCATCAGGAGCCCTCCTCCCATCTTCCAGACCCTCCGGTCCATCCAGAAGAGGTAGTTGTCTGCTGTCCTTACAGGAGGCAACTGTAAAGTAAGAGGGAATCACCATTAGATGATCCTGGTGATGATCCCAGAACAGATTAAAGGGGCATCACTCTAAGACTGCAACAAGGCTTGTGAACAACATGCCTCAAATAGACTTAACATTATAGAAGGAAATCTCCAGGAATAGTGGAGAAGACATTTCCAAGAATCTGAGTCCGTGGAAGGAGTCCTGGAGCTAGGAATGGAAATGCCTCTCTTATCCAGAGGCCGAGGCCAGAGGACAAGACATGGATGGCAGGGCCGAGGACAGCTTCTTAGGTCCAGACCCAGAGAGAGAACTAAAAAGCATTGACTAAGGAAAGACTGAGAATAACAACAACTGCTAATATCTACTGAACACCCACTATATCCCAGGCATACATTTCTGAGTTTTTAAAATTATGCATTCTGCCGGGCTTGGTGGCTCACACCTATAATCCCAGCACTTTGGGAGGCTGAGGTAAGAGGATTGCCTGAGCCCAGGGGTTCGAGACTAGCCTAGGCAACTTGGTGAGACCTCATCTCTACAATAAATAAATAAATTAGCCGGGTTTGTTGGCACACACCTGTAGTTCCAGCTACTTGGAAGGCTGAGGTGGAAGGATCACCTGAGCCCAGCAGGTCAAGGCTGTGGTAGCCAGGAGCGTGCCACTGCCCTCCAGCCTGGGCAACAGAGTGAGACTCCAAATCAAAAATAATAATAATAATAATAATACATTCTTTTATGTAACTCTTTCAACACCCTGGTAACAGAGGCATTAAAAAAAAAAATCTCCTTGATAGCTAGGCATGGTAGCTCATACCTGCAATTCCAGCACTTTGGGAGGCCGAGACAGGAGGATCATTTGAGCCCAGCCTGGGCAACATAACAAGGCCCTATCTCTAATATATATAATATATATATATTAGAGATAGGGCCTTGTTTTATATATATATGTTTTATATATATATATGTTATATATATATATATGGCCTTGTTTTATCTATCTATCTATCTATCTATCTATATATATATATATATATATATATATATATAAAATTTATTTGCATCCTTTTTTTTTTTTGAGTTGGACTCCCACTCTGTCACCCAGGCTGGAGTGTGGTGGCACAATCAGTGCAACTGCTGCCGGGCTTGGTGGCTTAGCCTGTAATCCCGCGCCTTTGGGAGGCTGAGGTGAGTGAATTGCCCGAGCCCGCGGGTTCGAGACCCGCCTGGGCAGGCAAGACCTCATCTCTACAATAAAATAAAAAAATTAGCCGGGCGTGGTAGCACGTACCTGTAATTCCGGCTACTTGGAAGGCTGAGGTGGAAGGATCGCCGGAGCCCAGCAGGTCGAGGCTGCGGTGGCCGGGACACTGCACTCCAGTCTGGGCGACAGAGTGAGACTCCAACTCAAAAACAAAACAAAACAAAAACACAGTGCAGCAGCCTCAACCTTCTGGGCTCAGACACTCCTTCTGCTTTAGCCTCCCAAGTAGCTGGGACAACAGGTGTATGCCACCAGGCTCCACTAATTTTTTTTTTTTACTTCTTTGTAGAGACAGGGGCTCACTATTTTGCCTACGTTGGTCTTGAACTCCTGGCCTTTAGCAATCCTCTTGCCTCAGCCTCCCAAAGTGCTGGGATTATAGGCATGAGCCACCGCACCTGGCCTCCTTACATTCATTCTTTAAAAAAAATAAATATTTATTGTGCATCTTCTATGTGGCAGACACTGTGCTAGATGCTGAAGATAAGTAAGCAAAAATAGACATTGTGCCTGCTCTCTTGGAGATTATATAGGGATTGGCAAATTTTTTCTGTAAAGGACCAGATTGTAAATATTTTAGGCACTGCGGGCCATAAGGCCTCTGCTGCAACTACTCATCTGCCACTGTAGTGTAAAAGCAGCCACAGACAATATGTGGGAAAGTGAGCATGGCCACGTGCCCATCAAACTTTTTTTATGAAAATAAGCTTCAGGCCAAAGCTTATTGACTGACCCCTGTTCTAGTAAAAGAGACAAACATTAAACAGATAATGACACCAAAAAACAACCATCAAGCGCTACCAAGTAAAAGTTCCTGATGCTAGCCGGGTGGTGTGGCTCACGCCTATAATCCCAACACTTGAGGCAGCAGAGGCGAGAGGATTGCCTGAGTCCAGGGGTTCGAGACCAGCATGGGCAACTCGGTAAGACCTCGTTTCTACAATAAAGCAAAACATTAGCCAGGTGTGGTGGCATGCACCTGTAGTTCCGGCTACTTGGAAGTCTGATGCAGAAGGATCACCTGAGCCCGGAAGGTCAAGGCTGCGGTGGCCATGAGCATACCTTTGCACTCCAGACCGAGTGAGACTATGACTCCAAAAAAAAACCAAAAAAAATTCCTGATGCTAAAAACCCCCTAATCAAGGAATTTTACCTATTCAGGGAGATCAGAGATTTCCCTGAGGGAGTGAGTCTTAGGTTTAAATCTAGTTAACTAGTAAAGCAGGTGGCAAGACTATTTTGGACAGGGGAAATAGCACGTACACACACTCAGGCAGAAGGGGGCATGACAAAAAGAATTTGAAAGGTTTATGTAGGTGCGGCAGAAGGAGTAAGGGTGCCAGGATGTAAACTCAGGCTGAGAAAGGTAGGCGGGGGCCGGGCCATGAAAGATCACATAAAGAGTTTTAGGTCTCTATTTAAACACAGGGACTGTGGCTGGGCTCAGTGGCTCTGCCTGTAATCCCAGCACTTTGAGAGGCCGAGGTGAGTGGATTGCCTGAATCCGCGGGTTCGAGACCCGCCTGGGCCACTTGGCGGGACCTCATCTCTACAATAAATCAAAAAAAAAAGAAATAGCGGGGTGTGGTAGCGTGTATCTGTAGTTCTGGCTACTAGGAAGGCTGAGGCGGAAGGATCGCTGGAGCCCCGTATGTCAAGGTTGCCGTGGCCTGGAGCGTGCCACTGCACTCAAGTCTGGGTGATGAATGAGACTTCAACTCAAAACATAAATAAATAAATGCAGGGACTGTGTCACAAGAAGTTGAGGTCCGTGCTCAAGGTGCTACAGCCAGTAAAAGATGGAGCTAGAAGCCCCGTCTGCTTACTCCCTGACCCAACTTCTGTATTTTCTTTGTTGGTTGTGGTTTCATGTGGACCTATAGTGTCTTTGCAAATTTCCCTCCATGAAATTTCAGTCATCCAACTAAATTAAAGAGAGAGGCAATTCTGTTTGCATCTAGGCTAGCAGGCTAGCAGGGCCTTGATATCAGTGAGAGACCTGAGTGAACCTGGTAGAGAAATCCTACAGAGAAAGACCTGCAGGACTGGGGATGGCTGTGCCCTCTGCTCTCTTTTCATTTCTGATGTCCCTTTAGATGCAGTCTTTCGAAGCTTTCCTAGCCGGGCATGGTGGCTCATGCCTGTAATCCCTAGGCAAAAAAATGAGACATCCAGCTGGGCTTGGTGGCTCACGCCTGTAATTCCAGCACTTTGGGAGGCCGAGGTGAGAGGACTGCCCGAGCCCACGGGTTCAAGACCTGCCTGGACAACTTGGCGAGACCTCATCTCTACAATAAATCAAAACGTTTGCCAGGCATGGTGGTATGTGCCTGTAGTTCCAGCTACTTGGAAGGCTGAAGCAGAAGGATCTCATGAGCCCAGCAGGTGGAGGCTGCAGTGGCCGTGAGCATGCCACTGTACTCCAGCCTGGGCAACAGCGTGAGAGACTGCAACTCAAAAAAAAAGTAAAAAATTAGCCAGGTGTGGTGGTGCACACCTGTAGTCTCAACTACTTGGGAGGCTGAGGTGGGAGGATCACCTGAGCCTGAGAGGTCGAGGCTACTGCATTCCAGCCTGGGTGACAGAGTGAGACTGATTAAAAAACAACAACAAAAGCCCTTTCTTTGTACTCTAGACCAAATGATAGTCTTCAATATTGCCCAGACTCCTTCGCCAGCTTCGAGGGTCCCTCTGGATCTGGCTCTGCCCACCTCTCCAGCTCTGTCGTCACTGCCCTCCTCTCGTGGGGAAAAGTGGACGACTTGCTGATCCACGGACACTCCACGTCCTCGCTTCAGTTCCCTGCTGTTCCTTCTGCTGGAAGAGCACATCTCACCCTGTGTCTTTGTCTGGACTCCCTCTCTTCCTTAAAAATTCACTCAGAAGCCGGGCTCGGTGGCTCAGCCTGTAATCCCACGCCTTTGGGAGGCTGAGGTGAGTGGATTTGCCTGAGCTTGCGGGTTCGAGACACACCTGGGTAGCGAGACCTCATCTCTACAATAAGTCAAAAAATCAGCCGGGCGTAGTAGCGCATGTCTGTAATTCCGGCTACTCGGAAGGCTGAGGCGGAAGGATCGCCGGAGCCCAGCAAGTCGAGGCTGCGGTAGCCGGGAGAGGCCACTGGACTCCAGTCTGGGTGACCGAGTGAGACTCCAATTCAAAAAAAAAAAATAAATTCACTCAGGACCAACTCCTGAGGTTCCCAGTTCTGCAGGAAGCCGTCCCTGGCCTCTTCCTGGTCCTGCCTGAACATGGACTTCCTCTCATGTGCTCACAGTTCCCTGTGTGAATGCCTAACATCCTCCACTACCGTTGGCAGAGGCCTCCTGGCTGCACTCTGAGCTCGTGAGCTCAGGGATAGCCCAGCACTAAGCTGACAGGCATTTGGCACTTCGCATGTGGAAGTTAACTCGTTTAGCTCCACTTGCCAGATGGGGGTTAACTCATTTGACTTGTTAACTCCACTTGCGTTTGCCTCTGAAGTGTCCTAATTCTATCCTTTAGAGTTCCTAGCACCTGCAGTTCTCAGCGTGGGATCCCTAGGCCAATAGCATCAGCATAACCTGGGAACCCAGCTGGAAACGCAAATTCTAGAACCCTCCTCAGACTGGAATCTGAAACTCTGGGGGCAGGCCCAGCAGTGTGTTTTCATAAACCTTGCAGGTGATGCTGACGCAGGCTAAACGTTTGAGAACCACGGCCTTACAGGAAGTTCTTGTTCATTAAATTGTTGTTGATTCCCTGAGGATG